ACTATCCATCCTAGTTCCGTATTTTGCTTATGAAGCCCTTCTCTTGTTTTTTGAATGCCATTTAGAATAATATGCGTATATTCTCTCGCTCCAACTATAGCATCAATTGGACCTGATTTCATATAGGTTGGATCTGCTAGGATTTCATTCGTGTATGAGCTGTCGACTTCTAATTGATATCGTGCAGTTGATTGTGTTAATTTTGGGAGTACCAACATTTTCACCTCATGTGAAATGTTGCTCGGAAAGCGTGGCTTAATGCGGAGATCTACTGCCGAGGAGCAAACTTGTGGGCTACCATCTCCTACGCCTGAAATTTCTGCTCTGATTTTCTGATGTAGAAGATTAAGACGTTGGGCTGCGTCTTCTGTTATAAACGCAGGTTGTGATCCTTGGTCAATGAGGACACGAAAATATTGGGAGGTGCTAGCTGTTGCTACTTCTACTAATGCTGTGGCAAGCAGAACATTCTCTCCGTGGTCTTTTACGTGATAGCTTGACGTATTTTGTCTTTGATTATTTCTCCTGAAGTTGTTGCATGTTTGGCTATTTTCATTTTGATTTGAGGTTCTTTGATCAGTTCTTCTTGATGTCTGATATCCTGAGTTGTTGAAGTTTCGTTGATTGTTTTCATTATGTAGGATTGTATGATGATGCTTTCTGCAGATATTGCAAGCTACACTGCTGCGATATCTTATATGTTTTTCGTGGTTGAGACAGTTCACGCAAAGGTTTATTTTCTGAACATAACGATTTCTTTCTTCTACCGACAATCTTCTAAAGGCTTGGCAGTGATATATCGCATGATCTTTCTCGCAATATTGGCAAGCTGAATTGTTTCTTCAACTTAGGCTTGTTGCTTCGAGATATTGAAATGTTCTTTCAAGAAATTCCATGAATTGTTGGTAGGCTTGAATTTTGTGTGGTTCTGTTAGTGTTTGTTCATACATCTTGTTGGTTTCGGAATCCCATTTCCGAATGATTATTCTAATAATGATTGGACCCCATGACTGTATGCTTACTCCTATATTTTCTAAGTCATGAGTACATTGTTTGGTGATGTCATGCAAGAGATTTAATTTTTCAACGTTTCCGGTGGAAAGGTTTGGGAGGTCTAATAACTTGTCTATCAGTTTCGAGGCGTTTATTCCCATATCTATTCTGAAGTCCCAGGCTGTCTCGTAGTTGTTTTCAGTGGTTGTCAGATGCTGAATGAGTCGTGCAGCTTCTCCTCGAACATGTGTTTTGAGCAGTTGTATCTTCTCTGCCTTGGAAAAATGTATGTTGTCGTGAACTACTCGCAAAAAACATCATGGAAAGAGCCCCAGTTCTCGTAGCATCCGTGAAATGTTGGAATGATTATTTGTGGTGACGCAAGATGTCTTACAGGCCAGATTGATTGAGTTTGGTAGTTGCTGCTGACATGAAGCTTCTGCCTCGATTGTTTCCATTGATAATTTTTCCAACGTGTCTTCATACTTCATCTGATACTCATGAAACTTATTATTCCTGAAGTGAGCACTGGTGAATAATTTTTCATGAATTATTATCTCTTCGTGCAATTCTTGAATAGCTTCCCATTGTTTTACCAGTTACTGTTGTAATTCATACCGTATTTTTGATTTCATCATTGATCGTTTCAAGGTACTACTTGCAAGTCTCATACCTCTTTTTTATTTGTTGTAGGTATTTTTTAGTAAAGTAGGCATGGTTTGGTTCATTGAACTTGTTTAGTTCCTGGTCATTTTCTTGATCTGCATCCCATAGATCTTCTAGTAATCCAAGTTTGTTCTATATACTGTTCGGTTTTTCTTGATTGGCCATCTTTCTTACAGTTGGTGTAAAGCTGCATGATCTTTTTGCCTAGTTCTGCTTGCTGAGCAGCACGTGAGTTCATTTCTTCCGCCATTGTTCTGTTGATCTTTCAATGGGCTTAGTTGGACCTCTGGAACCACTGTTGGTGGGACCTCTGGAACCGTGGCTGATAGCTACTCATCTTGGTTGACTTGTGGATCGCTACCGGTGGGACTCTAGGAATCTGGTTGATGGCTGCTTGGTTTGGTTGAACCTCTGGGACCGCTGTTGGTGGGACCTCTGGGACTCTGGTTAATGGCTACTTGGTTTGGTTCGACCTCTGGATCCGCTGTTGGTGCTCTTTGCATAAGACTTGCTACTGTGGTCGAATATTTTCCGGTTGCAGCAATCACTATGTCGTTTGCTTATGCTTGGGTGTAGGTAGAAGCCTTATGGTTCTCCAGTTCTCTTACAAGACCCTTCACAAGTACATTCCACAGGAGAGGAGACATATTATCTTTGTTTGGCCGATGTCATCGTTCTAGTATATTTAAAGGGCCAAGTATTTAATAATTGCTTAATGCTTGCTTCATATAATGACGTGGAGCGGGGACACTAACAAAAAAGAATATCGACAAATTACAAATTACAATGGAAAGATCAACGACAAGAATACCCATTCAAGATAGAATTCGAAACCATGAATATGCCAACATACGAAATGCTGTGGAACCGATTAAGTGCCTAAAGTTGACTAGGCGGGACATTCCGCCAGAATTAAGGATACCTAATAGGTAAAGGAGATTATAGACTGACAAAAAGCAGACGCATTTAGAAATAGAGGAAGACGGATGACCCTCCCCTCCCCTTGTTGGACGGAAGACATAAAGAGAATGGCAGGTAACTGCGAGAGTGGAAAAGTTTGAAACAAGCTTTTTGCAGCACTGCATAAGATGAGCTGACGCAAATGAATTAGACTTCTTTGTGTCATCATCTTTTACATTTTCTTCTGAAATGTTCACCATCTTTTGCAAACCTATTATCTGTTTGAGGAGATGTTGAAGTCGAATGAATTGATGAATTTTTCCCATATTTATTTCTATTTTCTATTTGTGGGTAATGATTTATGATATATCTATTTTGAAATACTTGTGCTGAATACTTATGATGATGACAGACCGTCACGGAACGTCTACCCAATGCAACTTTTGGTAGCCTATTCTATCATATCTTGCACCGCGTTGTTACTAGATACAAAAAGGTCCATCAAAATAAAGGATCGTAAATTTTGAACATCATCAGCAGTTACTTTTCTGTCCGAGAGACCACTGAATATATTACTTAGTGCTTTGCTAGTAAAATCGAACTGCTAAAGTCATCTTCTGTTAGAAAATAGAGAAACTCTTTGTTTAGTTATATTGCTAATTCCAAAAGGTGACAGTTTGCTTTCTTCTAGCTGCAAGCATTACGGTTCTCCCATCTCTCCATCTTTATCGAGTTTATTGGTTTTTCGCTCTCTTTCAATAATATTTCCACCATCATCATTGAAAGTTTTGTTAAAGTCTTTGTTAGTGTTTTTGTGTGTACCTACAGTACAGAGTCTCAACAGCGAACTGAATGTTATATGTTTATGAAATCACCACCAGCCTCGCAACTCCATAAGCAACGACAACTCGATGCAGACGGCAACTCAAACCTCGACTTTAAGCATCCATATATTTGGTGTGATTAGGTTGCCGATATGTTATAGATAAGGCTTGGTGCTTCCTAATGATCGAAATTTAGACAGAAATTCTCAATGAAGCTCACTGAATATGACCAAGCAATTTCAATAGATTTATGTTTTCTATTTTATAAATTCTTGAATTTGATTGCTCCTCTCGACGTTCTTGATTGCTGCATATGCGAAATCTGAATCGTCCAGGTATGAAATTTTTAATTTCAAAAAAAGATGCTCACATGCAAAAAGTTAATACGGTTTTCACTCACTTCCATACTTACCTACTAATAAATTTCTATCGAGCATGCATGTGAAATGTAACTCTTTGTAATGTAATCTCTTTAAACATTTCAAAACCTAAGCTGCAAGCACCGGTGCATGAGAGTATATTGACCCATTTACCTGAAGAGCCCCTTCTACAGTGCAGATAGAAATCGATACATTGTAGCTGTGCAAATTATTTTTCCCTGATTAATAAAAGGGAAAGATAATCTCAACGTTTTACTGATATGTAGTTTTAATAAGATCTTGAATACTTCTCTTTAGATTAGAAGAGGCTCTGGATGATAAAATACAAAAAAATATCTAGGAAAGTTTGAAAGTCGATCAAATTTAATTCATAATTACCTACTTAAAAAACTGAAAAAATTATGTTTTTTTCTCAATTCCATTGGCTGCACTTAGGCATTTATTAATAGTTATTTATACACCAAGTGAGTTAAATGAATGTTTATTCATGAGAAAAAAGTTTAACCCACGAGCCCTAGCGAGTGGGTTAATTTTCTTCGAATGAATAAACATTTTAACTCACGTGATGTATACAAAATTTTATCCCATTTTGTGGAAATTTGAAAAATAAAGTACAAGGAAAAATGCCGGAAGTGAGTTAAAAATATTTTAAATCACTGAGGTTTCAGATTTTTAGTTGGGCAGAGTGACTTAAAATGCTGAGAGTGAGTCAAAATGTTTTTAAATCACTGAGGTGATAAACGTCTACTTACCTTTATTGTTATGCGTTCAATAATGTCATTTTTAAACGTCAAAATGGAATAAAATAATAAACAAAATAGGTACCTTTCGATTGAAACGTGTTAAATAAAACATGATGCGAAATTGTAATTGAATGTTTTAGAACATTTAAAGTTTTAATTATTAATGGCCATCGCTAACCTTTTCAATTAAAAAATTAACTACATTGTTTTTATCAAATTGATGTAACAGTTGAAAATTACATGAATTTTGCATTATTTAATTAACCAAAACCTATTCAGTTGATAGACTTTGATATTGAATGCAATCTATAAGCAACTTTCTCACACAAAAAGCATGTCAAATAAAGAAAAAAATGAAGACCTGGACGATTTAGATGAAGAAGATGAAATTCAAAAACATCACGTATTAAAGTGGTATCCTCTGTTCCAGTACTCTGTGATAGGAGCCCTATTCTCGTGCCTAAACCTAACCCACGTTATGTTGTTTGTTACAGAAATCAAACCTACTAATGCAACTGTTCAAGAGAACATTGTCCAGGAAACTCTGGACAAGCTTCAGAAAGAAACTAACATGGATCAATGGGTTCTGGTTACCATCTTGATTGGTAAGTACTAATCAATTGTCAAATTGTTCTAAATTATATTTTATTTTTTAGCTGTCTGTGCAGTTATTTTGGGAATATGTTTCTGCTGCATAAGAAGATGCTTCAGGAAGAGAAGATCAAAGGACAAAAAGGGAATGAAGGGTGCAGATTTGAAATCGATAAATCTGCTAGGGTCATCATACAAAGAACAAGTACGTAAAGCTGATTATTATTTTTAAAAATGTGAAACTCACTATTTTCAGGTACAGCCCGACATGGACGAATTGACTGCGAATGCTGAAGAACCCGACGAAGCTGAGAAACCTGAAGTGCAAAAACTTGGAAAGCTGCAATTCAAGGTATGAATTATTGTGATTTGCTTATTAAAAATGCTAATTATTGTTTTTTATTGTTTTTATTTGGAAATATATTTTGTTTGGTTTTATAATTATTATTCTGGAAAATATTTTTTACCACATCTTCCGGGTACAATCCGGAAACACCCGATCATAAATTATATTCCCAGCCACGTGAAAAGCGAACATTCCAAGTCCAACGTGCCATCCTCTGAATAAGCACATCAAAACGCGCCAACGTAAGGGTTTATATACCTTTTCGTCAAAGCGCCACACTTCATTACGTATCCAGGGGTCTTTCAAACCTTTGGCAGCCAGAGCTTTTTGGAGTTGCACAAGTGTCGGAACATCAGAAACTTTGTAAATTCGATAATCAGGTATGGTGTAGGGTGACTGGTGACTGTGCCCGACCATATTTTGATGAGCGAATGATTTTTTTTATTTTATTTTTTTTGATTTTCTTATGATGATAATTATGGAGATGACAACTACTGACAAAATTGTCGACTTATGACAATAATGACATAATGACAATTTTGATTCCAGAGTTGGAGCATACTCTGATTAGTCCAGGAGGCAGTGCAATTTTTTAGTACTTATTTTCATAACTTCCATAAGCATTTCTAACTTTAATGAGTGCTGTTGCTAGGAATACCATCTCATCTTGTCGGCTGATATGGCTTGTTATTGTTTCGGTTCTTCGATCATTTCTGGACGCTGATTTTCTGGACTGTTGTGGTCGAAACGAATCGATGTGTGAGTATGTATGATGCTGGTTATTGCAAATACGGCAATTCATTGACGAATTGCATTTGGATTTGTTGTAATGGTCCGAGCAGTATCAACATGTTTTTTTTTTCTTTGGCAGCTTTTAGCCGAAGTTTTGATGATAAGGCTTTGAGTTTTGGGCATTGGTAAATCATGTGGGCTTCATTGCAGTACTTGCAAGCATCAGTACTTCTGGCTTTGTCATTATTTTTTGAGTTGGGGCAAATTTTCTTCTGTGTGTCTGAAATTGCTTCAAATGATTCGAATCCTGCTTGAAGAAATTTCCTTATTCCAACAAATTCCCGTATTTCATGGGGCTTGCTTAGCGATTGTTCATAGAGCTTGTTGGTTTCATGATCTCATTTTCGGCAGATGATGCGACTGATAATAGAACCCCAATTGGAAGTATCGATACATAGATTATTGATGGCTTCAAGACATTCCACAACTGTATCGTGAAGCTGTTTAATCTTGAATGATGATTCGTGATTAATCACTGGAAGATCTAAGATCCTATCTAGTAGTTTGGAGACTATAAGTCTATTGTTGCTATATCTGTCATTGAGATTGAGAATATTTCAAGCAGGGCCATAGTTGGTTTCTGCTATAAACAGGTGCTGGATCAGTCTTCCAGCTTCCCCTCTCACATGCGTTTCAAGATACTGCATTTTCTCTATTGTCGTAATTGTTGGATTTTCATGAACCACTTTGATATAAATTTCGTGAAATGTGGCCCACTCTTCATATTGACAAAAATTGGTAGTTTGATTTGAGATAATGTTATATTGCATTGTTTCACAACTTATTCTACTACTCGAATCTTGTCCTGGAGGTTTTATACTGTTTTTTCGTACCGCTTTTCAAGGTCTTGAATGGGATTTTTGATAGTACTGTCAATTCCCTGAACCTGAAGATCGATGTATTTTTCAGTGATAACGTCCCATTGCTTGGATAGCTTCTCTAATAGAAACTGGTAACGGTTGCGAGTATGCTCACTGATCAGGTCGTTTGAGATGTCCCTTAAGGCTATAATTTGTTTATGGTTTTTTTTCAATGTTTTCCCAAATGGTCTCAAGTTTGGCAGTTTTTCTGAGAAAATATTGTTCAGTTTTTCTCTCATGAGGGTCGTTTTTGTAATTGGAAAATAGGGTTTTTAACTTTTTATCCAGGGTTTCTTGTGCGTTAGCGAGTTCGTTGGCTTCTTCCATTTTGGATGCTGCCTACTGCTATTGGTTATCTGTTCCTTTTTTCTCCTCTTTGTGTAGGTATGTCCCGGCTTCTTCTTATTACTTTGACTTCAGGACCTGGTGTTTTTTGTCTCCTTTTTTGTTGCTGTCTGCTGCTATCTGAACCGATTTTTTTGTTCTTTTTTGTTGAGAATGGGATGCTGCAACCAGACAAGGCACTTGCTATAGCGGGAAGGAATGTATGTGTGCTTTAGACCGCTGTCTAAGCAGTAACCCTGAAGGGCGTGAGTGTATGTGTATATTTGATTATTATAAGATGTAGGAAGGAGTGTATAGCCAGACAAGGCACTTGCTATACTGGGAACGGGATACTGTAACCAGACAAGGCACTTGCTACAGCAAAGAAAGGATGTAGGTATGTTTGTGTGGGTGTTTAGACCGGTGTCTTAACATTAACCCCGAAGGGCGCGAGTGTATGTGTGTGGGTTAAAGAATAGGAATGAAGGGAGGACTGTTGGGAAGGGCTGGTTTTCAACCTTTATCTTCTTTTTGCTCGAAGGACCAATGTAAATTCCTGATATTGGAATTCAGAAGGATGCTCAGAACCTTTGGTAGTTTGTTGTTTATGGTTTGTAGATTGGGTTAGTACACCAGGAAAGTTTGGTAACTGGGGAGTAAGAACCACTGTTGGATTAATATTTATTATTAAACAATCATCAACTATTTATATACAAAAAAATGCAACTTTAACAAACATCATGAACAATAGTAAATAATTAAAAAGAATAAATCGCTGACAAAATCTGTTGTGTGCTCCACATTGGAAGATTTGGTAATTAAACTTTTGATGACGCTGCGTCTGCCGTCTGCCGTCTGGTATAGATCGTAGAGTAATAAACCTATGAATATTTTGAATTGATGTTTTTTGTTCCTGTTTCGAGTTTTGTTCTGAAATGGCTTTTTCCTTTAAATGCCACAATGTTTTTCACAAGAGCTATCGATCAAGACTCAACCAAGGTGTGGTAATAATTAAGGATAACCTAATACTGTGTTCTGCTCAGTGCTCGAATCTAGCAAGTGATTCGGACTCTGACATGATATCAAGCTTGAAGCAAATAATTACCGAGCTTAAAACTGAAATTTATGACAAAACAAACTACATGGATAGATTGAAATAGGACAAGCATACTCTATTAGAAGAGGCAGAATCTTCAAAAGATCGACTGGTTCGCGAAATAATGCCCTTTAACAAAAACTAGCTCAGTTGACACAACAATCATTAAAGCAAAACACCTACACATCAAAGAAATTAACTTCTTCTAAACTCAAACTTCTATTCCAAGACAAATCCTGTTTCAAAATAACTCAGCTCAGACTAATTCTCACCTAACTAGCAAATCTGATGAGAAACAAAAAGCCCTCATAAATGAAATAGCCGATCTCACAAATCTCAATAAACAAATGGTTACTACAATGGAGGCCCTAGATAGTGAGAACCTATTCCTCTCGAACGAGTTAAAAAATCTAAAAGAACAGCTTACTAGTACCTATGGTTCTCCCAGGAAGCTGAACGCAGCATCCTCCTCAAACAAATGGTGTACTTGAAAGATCTCTGTTTGACGAACTATCGGTCATAGATCGGCAAATAAATGAAATTGCTTGCTCTATAATAGCAGAGTATACTCCTCTACCTATACATGGTACAGCCTGTCCCAAGAGAAAAAACAACATCTTGGTTTTGGTGACGAAAGTTTAAGGGGTGTGGCTGGTGGACTACCTGACTTGACCAATGAATACTTGATCTATGAAGAATGTCATCCTGCTATTGGAATTTCCCAGATAGCAGGCAAGCTCTTCAATTTAACGGTGGGATTTAATAGTATGGATAATGTTATAGTACCTATAAACCTAAGTTGGTTGGTTTTCTTAAATTATTTCATTTAAAAAAATTGTTTTCTATTGGTAAATACACTAACTCAATTTTTTCTTTGATATATTCAAATTAGGAATACAACAAATATGTAAGGTTTGTTTTGCTTTTGTCAAAACTTTCTTAAATGCCAAAATGCATCAATTAGAATTCTAGCTAATAATAAAGTAAATGGGAAATTTCGACTGTCAAGGCTGTCTTTTTTAAAGAATATTTTGTGTTACGTAATGAATAGAAGTATTTTAAAACGCATTTTCACAGTTTCTAACACAAAGTATTGTGTTACTGACGATTCAGCTATCATAAACAGTCGAAAATTGCCAAGTACTGAACCAGGTTCTTTTTTAGATTAAGAAACTCCGACAAGAGCATATCTTTGTTGCTTTTAAATGTTCAATCTGTTCGTAACAAGGTTGATAATCTGTTTGTTGTTTTGAAGGGCTTAGGTTTTCCTACCATTGTTTTATTGAAGGAGCATTGGCTTAGGCCTGAGGAACCACTGTATATTCCGGGTTATTTTATTATTTCGAAGTTCTGTAGAGAGAGCTCCTGGCATGGTGGTACCGTTTCCTTGGTAGATGACTGTATTTTTGATAGTTTCCCTAATTTTATTAATCTTGATAAGTTGCTGGTTGAAATGCAATTTGAATTTTCTATTATTCATTCCGAAACCGAAAAATTAAAATGTTTTATTGTTTGTATAGATCCCCAAATTGTAATTTAAACGTCTTTCAGGAAAGACTTGAAGTGACCTTAGCAATGATTTTGACGACACAGACAGTGGCGACTCGTTAGGGGAGGCAGTGCCTCCCCTGAAAAAATGCTACAAATTGTATTTTTATATACTTTTAAACACAAAAAAAAAAAATTACCTACGACGCTCATTATTTTTTTTTTTTTGGGCCGCCTTCCTCAAAATAGTCACAGGCCGCCACTGGACACAGATAATAAATCTACCATCAATTTATTCTTAAACTAGTTTGAATCTTTTAATCTTAACATGCATGTTCATGAGTCTACGCGCATTACTGAAACTTCATCCACTAAAATAGACTACATTGCCTCGAATATAAATGATAATATATCTTGCACCGTGTTTAAATAAATAAATAAATAATAAATAAATATTTTATTTGCCAAAAAAATAATAAATAATTATAAATATAGCCTAGTGACACTATAATAAATATAGCCTAGTGACACTATAATTTATTTGGGGCAAATAAAAGAAAAAAACCCACTAAAGGCGAACCTTGTGCGTGGGTGCTTTGATCCAGATCTTTCCGATCATAGAGCTATTTTAGGTACCATTCCTATCAATTACGCTTGCAACAATGACACTGCAAAGTTGGGGAGAATTTACAGCACCAGCAATTTCCAAAAATTTTGTGAGTCATTTGAATGTGATTCTGTTTTCAGAGAGCCAGAGCCTTTGGATGCTTTTCATAACGCTCTGGCAAACAAGGTCTTCAAAGCTTTCCCTCTTCGCCACCCAAAGCCAGAACGCAAAGATCGGAAAAAATGGCTAA